TTTTATTTATTCTATTGTTAGGTATGTAATGCATATGGAATATTTGATTTTCCTTGCATTGTAATAAAATTTTGGTGTGAGATGTATAAATGCATAAGAAAATTGTGAGAAGTATGTTAAGTATGAAAACTTAGTTGTAAGATATGCTATGTATGTAAATATGAAAATTTAGGTGTGAAATTTGTAAATCCATAAGAAATTTGTGCTATGAGTGTAAATATGAAATTTAGGTGATATATGAAAATGCATAAGAAATTTGTGCTATGTCTGTAAATATGAATTTTAGGTGTGAGATATGTAAACAAAAAAGAAATTTTGTGCTGTGTGTGTAAATATTAAAATTTAGGAGTGAGACATGTCGATACATTAGAAATTTGTGCTAGGTATGTAAATATAAAAATTTAGGTGTCAGATATATAAATACATAAGAAATATATTTTATGTATGTAAATATGAAAGTTCAACTGTGAGATATATATGAGAATAAATAAGAAATTTGTGTTATGCATGTAAATATGAAAATTTAGGTGTAAGATATGTAAATGCATAAGAAATTTGTGATATGTTAGTAGGATTGCAAAAAAAGCTCGTTGTTCGTGAATAGCTCGTGTTCGGTCCGTTCTTTAAGTAAACGAGCCGAACACAAATAAGTTTTTAAAGCTCAAATTATAAACGAGCTACTCGTGTCGCTCGTGTTCGGCTCTTTTTAGCTCGAAATTATATATATACATATATTATTTATATAATAATATATTATATATATTTATATCTAAGTTTAAATTGTAAGCTCATATGATAATGTGGTTATGTGTCTTCTTTTGCATACATTTAGTCCATGTTTGAATCCAACACTATACATCTAATTTTTTTAATTTAATTTTAACAATCAAATTTTGAGTCGAACACGAACACAAATATTTAAATCAAGCCGAACATGAACACACTGTTCACGAGCCAATTTCGAACACGAGCAATTTCGAACGAGTCGAACACGAGACAGACCTGAGTTCGCTCAAGCTCGGCTTGTTTACAATCCTATATGTAAGTTTAGGGTGGAGTTAAGCTAGTGTTGATTTTCTCTGGATTTGTGGGCTATGGTTTTGGAGTATGATGTGTAGTTGGAATAAGGTTTCAAGTATGATGTGTAATGTGTAGGTGCATTAATATGTAGTGCTATGTTTTATGATACAGTTGGATATTCAAAGCTTTAGATTGTGGATGCATGACATATTATATCTAGGAAGAAAAGGATTAACTGATGAGTTTATTATTAATGTTGAACAGTTCGAGTATGTGGCATCACAGCTCGTGAATTAGGTTTAAAATGTTTGATATCCTGGACTCATTTATACAAAATATGGCTTATTTATTCTGGCAAGTAAGGCTAGTCAACTTTATTATATTTGATGCCCTTGACGAGCAAGGGATAAACTTGATTGGGTTGTTGTATTGAAGAATAGACCACGAAAAATTGTTGAGATGCAGAATGTTATCAAATTTATTCCCTCAAAGTCAATTATATCTAATTTTCGTATACAATTTAGCTCAATCAATTAGGACTTGCCCCTAGACGATATCACAGGGATTCATGAAGAAGTCCCTATAGATATTAATGAAAATGATGCTGAGATCGATGAAGAAATTTTAAGTTCATCATCTGGATCATCGAACGAAACATATTAAATAATGGTATGTATATTTAGATGATTGTTATCGTATTGTCATACTACCAAACACTGATAAATAGCATGTTGCTAAACACCGCCTAGGCATAAAATCAGGTGAAAAAGAAGACGTGAAGTTACCTTATTCAATGTTTTCGAGTAGGAGACAAGCATAAGGAGGACAAAAATGGGAATTTTGGGTCTCTACAAGTTGTGATCCCGTTGTATGGTTCGGTTGCAAAGGTGATAGTGTTGGACGAAACCTAGAGAGGGCTACGACAAGGGCGAGGTCAGGGGTTTCGGGGAGGGAGGGAAGAAGAAGGGCGAGCGCGAGCACAAGTGTGATCGTGGGAAGAGGAAGAAGAGAAATAAATGAGGGATTTAGGCTTGGTGTATAATTAGGGCATTTACCAACGACTTATAAATCACTTAAAAGCATTCAATAATTAATATTCTTATCCACGAAAATTCACATCGATTATTAAAAATAATTGTTGGTTAATACCCCGCCAAATGATTAGTTCGTAAATAATATGCACAATATGACCGTCGGTTAATATTTATTTATAACTGACAGTATAATGCGTCAGTAATAAGAAAAACCGTCAGAAAAAATTTTACGTTGTTGAGCGACAACATATCATGTTATTATACCGTCGCAAATAACTCAACTCATAAACCATCCCCATTAGTTTTAGTGCCTTTTTCGTTAGTGTTTTCATATGTTATTTAAGATTTGAGTGCTATGCTTGTAAATAACAATGTTTAAATGTAAGATATGTAATTACATAAGAATTGTGTGGTATGTATGTAAATGCCCAATTTTTTTATAGATAAATAAGAGCAGAGGCAAAATTATTCAAAAAAAAATGAGAGAGGAATCAGGAATCATTGAATGTAAAAGAAAAAAAAATCCATCACAGTTATAAATAGTTATATATATATATGTTAGAGTTTTGTATATGGCCTTGTTGATGCCATGATTTGGGCTATTTAGCGTTTGCTTGAGTGCGTTTAATTGTAAGCTAATTTTCAATTGATATTAAATTACTATTATTATTATATTTACCTTGGGCTATTGGGCCAATAGTTGGGTCGTGCATTTATATTTGTCGTAATATCAGATTCATGAGTCGAGTTTGGGTCTAACATGAAATTAACCTTTCTTAAAACTGTTTCATCCACTCTAGCCCAACTCGAATACTAAACAGGTTAACACGTATAACCCAAACCACCTTCAACCCGATTGACCCAAATATGACCCGCATAACCTATTTTAGATGTGAATAGCAGCTATTCGGGTCAAATTGAGTCAACTTCAAGTTAACTTCATGTTAGTTGGTCGACACGAATTAGGCCTAAAAAATTAAATGTTTTGGAATTTTTTATATGAACCCGACCCAAATATTAATCAAGTCCGTCCAAACTCAAATTTTTCAAGTCTGGCTGAGTCGAGTTAGCATGCATGTTTGGTCGATTTGAAAACCCTTATTCCTAACCAAGTGTGTGCATTATATGATTAAAAATAATATATCAAAACAAATCCTTTTATTTAGGTGTTTAGTTCATTTTAAAATATAATGTTTCATTTATTGGTTTTCTACAAATAGTTTAGCTTGCAATCATTCTAATAATTATTTTCGTTTTTTTTACCCCTCCATTTATATTTTATTCCCACTACTTTTAAATTTAAATGACTTTTCCTAAATCCAAAAAAAATATTGTTTTGTATTTCACAACTCATCAACTAATTAATATTCCTTTGGAAGATTTTCATACATACCACTCAATTCCTATGTATTTACATATCTAACATCCAAATTTCGGGTCTGTTTGGGGCAGCTGTAGCTTATTGAATAATCTGCTGAAAAGCTGATTAAAAATAATATGTTCATAAGCTAGGTGCGGTGACTATTACAAATTTTTATTTTTATTTTTGGAAAAACATCATAGCCAATAAGCTGCCACCGCACCGTTTTCAGTCTTTTAAAAATGCATAAGCTGCCAAAACGCAGTTTACTCAAACAAGCAAGGTGAGTTTTCTAAACGACACAACGTTTTCTAAACGCCACCACATCAAATAAGCTGCCCCAAACGGACTGTTTTCTAAACGCCACCACACCAAATAAGCTGCCCCAAACGGACCCTTCATCTTTTTACCTATGCATACAAAAAGGTGTATTTGACTTTTAAATATTAAAACAACTGCTGTATTTTTTATGTGATATGAAAGATTTGAATCGTTTCACAAGCGGGTGGGATCCCGGATGAGTTACTGCCCACCCTGAAATTTGATGTTTCTCTATATGTAGTACTTCTGTGCCCATTAGTGGTATACATGTAAAAAATAGAATTTAGGTGTTAGATATTTAAATACATAAGAATTGAGTGGTATGCACGTAAATGCATTTCTCTTGCTTCACCTAAAACTTTTTTATATTTCAACTAACACCTCTCATAATTTTGGAAGTCAAACATATCTTATAGGTTGAGTGCAATTTAATTCAGTTAGATGTTCACGCCATATTTAATGTTCTATGAATACATCAATTTGCTTCAATTGGTTAAAGATAATCTCAATGAACTATGAATACGTATTTTTTGCTTATATACACACAAGCAATTACTAAAGTTATGTGCACAACTGGTGGCTTATTGGTTGGCAACTTCAGCGTAAGTCCCCTCTGTCCCTGATTCGATCCCATCAGGCTCAACTTAGCACATATGAGGTGGACATAGACATCTTGCCGTCCATCTTTTAATAAAAAATAAATTAAAAAAAAGTAACTATCAAGCTATATTCAATATTGAGAGCTATACTCCAAGGAGCTCAATTGAAGGCTTTGTTATTCGATCTCGCTCTAGATTGCAATACCAAGCATGTTTATAAGAATCAACTAAATTTGATGAAGAATATAAATTTGGTTTTTTTTTTTTTTTTTAGTTTCATAAAAATTTTAAAAAAATAGCTTTATATAAAAAAAAATTAAATTTTTATGTTCTATTAACTCATTCTTTGAAATTCTCCACCAATTAAAATAAATAAGTCAATTATAAAACAAGTTAAATTATAAAAATATTAAACAAATTATTAAACCTGAAGAACATTCATGTCAATGTTCGCCTGGAGCATGATTCAAACCCTAAACATATAATACGATCAAGTCAAGTTATGACAAAATACTCAACTTGACTCGTTTCGATTGTTGCCCTACGCACATTCGAGATATCATTTGAAATTAATTCAAGAAACAATGTATGTAGTTGACTAAATCAAAAAGTCAAAGCATGCTTAGTGAGCTCGAATCATGTAGATGAGACATTTGATTAGGGCATATATCCATAAGTCTATATAAAAGCAAGAATTTATAAGAAAAAAAAACATAATTAAACAAAGCCTTCAATCCACTATTAAAAATTATTTTCAAAATCCTAAGTAACCTATCACAGAAGTTCTTTGAGATTCGTGCTACATACAAAAAACTCAGAATCCATCCATTTTACCTGCCGTTTATTCAGGCCAGTAGTCTTCCCCGCCTCATCTGGCAAACGACACGTGGCATCAACGGCTCCATTCATCGCCCTTCTTCCCCTCACCATTGACGCTCCTACTGATGCGTTCACAGCGGACCTCTACCGCTGCCGCCACCGGCGGCGGCAGAGGCGGCGAACGGAGAGAAAATATCATTCCAAACTTCAGCGAAAGCGCGGAGGATGTGGTGGTGATGATCAGGAGAATTAAGTGAGAGAAATTGATGAAGGAGTTCACAGAGACTATCCCAAGAGTAAAGCTCCTTCTCCACAATCATCACCATTAAAGATTCACGGAAATCAAGATAAGGGTTCCAAGACTCCTTCACCACCGCCACGCTCTGCTGCACCGCCTCTTTCCGCTTCAACCCCAACTTCTTTTCTCTCAGGCCGCTCGCCGGAATGTTCACCGGCGACGGAGATGATGACTGAGGGTCATCAAAGGAGGAGTCTTGATGTGCGGTAGGTAAGTCGGTGCTGAAATCGGATGGAGAGGTCGTTGTGGTTGCAGAAGAGGAGGGAAAAAATGGCGTTTTGGGAGTCCTCTGTTTCTGTGAGGAATATAACGAGAGGAAAGATGAGAGCTTTGAGCTCCGGCAGCTGCAGCCGGTGTCGACGACTATGGGATGGCGTAGGAAGAATCTCTTGCTTGAAGAAGACATGGCGGTTGGTGGAGATTAAGCCGCTGTAATCAGATAATAAGGATGAGGAAGAAGACGGATTGTGGATTTGAAGTAAAACTGGTTGGTTCTAGTAACAGAAAGATCAGATTTATGGCCGATTAATGTGGAAGAGTGACGTTGGGGATGGGGAGCGGGAGGAGGATCGATCAGAGAGAAGGAAGAGGGGGAGATGCTGATGTGGCGGTTTAACCGAGCAAGAAGAGATTTATTTCTCAGCTTAAAAAGAGTTAATTTGCAGGCGTTATTAAAGGTGGGGTTTTTAAGAAAAGTTGGATTTTGACTCGTCTGGAGTTTGGCAGAATCATAGTATGATGTGTGGATATTATATATTTGCAGTTGTTGAATACAATTTTAACTTGTGGAGCTTATGAAAATTCAATTTTGTTTTACATGGACTAGAGTAAGGAATATTTTTTTTTAGTGAAATTTTGTTTGAATATAAGTATAAGGCTTACACATAGTGTTATTTTTCAATGAATTCATTTGGCCAATTTGACATCACTCATGATCTAAGAGTTGATAAAGTTCAATTATTTTTGACGGGTTTAGTTTTGGTTGGTGTCTTACAAATGTATAGCGTATGGTGCTCGATTTTTTATATATAATTTCATAAGAAGAACGATCTAGTTGAAATAGTTTGTATTAATAATAACTGTGAGTTACAAGTAGCCTCTCTTTCTCGAATTTGGAGGAGTGAATGCAGTAGAAGAGGGCAAGCTATCTTAAGTATCGAAGGTGTAAATGACAAAGGAAACAAGACAAGGTTTCTGGAGATTATTGGCATAATTCTCTTCCTAAATGTAAGGCGGTGTGACCTTAATGTAGCATATAAGCAAATAGTAAGACATTGGAGTGACAATTAAAAGATAGCTAAGGAAATTATCCTCTTTATGGAGAAATCAGCACAACCTTCAAGTACTTTCAAGTGTAGAGGCGGTTTTAAAAATGTCTTACATTATAAGCTCTAATTTAGAAAATTTGATCATCTTTGATAAAATTTAATATTTTTAGCACCATATGTTTATTACTCATAAATTATTATGCATATTAGTTTAAATGCAGAAAAAATATACTTAGTTTTACACGCCTCAGATTCTTAAGAATTAAGGATAGAATTACAAAAGGATTTAGTTAAGTTTTAAGGTAAAACTCGCTAAATAGATTTTATGCTTACAATATAGACTCATAAAAATTATTTTAGAATTTTAATCTATTAATATGAAATAAATCTAATATAAAAAGATTTACTAACTTTAAGCTCACTTAACTAATTCAAACTCTTAGCGGCAAGTCCATTACCAAATAAATAAAAACATAAAACAAAATTTTGTTGTCAAATGTTCTAATCAAAATTTCTCTTTCCATGTTCACATTGAAACTGAATACAATGATATTGGAGAACACTTTAGCAAACTTAAGGCTTATAAAAGGTAATGAATCTTTAGTTTAAGATTTACAAATGAGTTAGGTAGTTTTGGCTTAATGATGAAGGGGTTTAGTAAGGCATAGTGGTAGAAATATCAAGACTAGTTCAAATTGGACTGATTATTTAAAAAATTGACTTTTAGGTAGAGCAAATGGTAGTTTGGTGCAATTTAAGTGGATGTTAAAGGGTAATGATTGAGAGTAATCTTGCATAGGTTGGTCGAGAACTATAAGTGATTTTCTACAGTGATTAAAGAGTAATGAGACTTTTAGACTTGTACTTGGGTGGTGGATGATCTTAGAAAAGTCTTAGAATGTGGAGGGAGGTGTGAGAAGCATTGAGAGCAAGATTTTAAGTGAGTTGCTAATAAAAATAGAAGTACAAAGATAATTTGATTATCTTACTAAAAAAAAAAGAACACAAACTTAAGCCAACAAGCATCAATTCAAAGGAAGGAGCAACTCATCACTAAAAAAAAAAATCATTTAATCCTAAATTGATACATTAGCTTATATTTATAAGTATTGTGAGATTCATAGTTTAAGACTTTTAGACAAAAAAAAAATAGAGATAAAAGAGGAAGAAACAAGGGAGATTGTTATCCAATAATAAAGAAGTCCCAACCACTCATTTTTAATGCCTTTTAATGTTAAATAAAGTATTTTGACAATAAAAATCCAACAAACCTAAAATCATTTAACCATGAAGTCATTAAGATGCTTGCTTTTACATGGTGTATTTTAGGACTTTGAACAAAATAATCAATATGTCACTAAAAAATTATAGATTGAAGAGACCTTGGAGATTTAATGAATTCTAGAACTCCACTCAATGATCTACATTCATTGTCATCATCCAATCAATATTGCCTATTGATCATGTCTTGATTACTAAGACCCAACCACTATATATTAAACATCATATCCTGATTATTGATGGTCATTACCAAATCATCATCTCCTGATCTTAGTCGCTTAACTGAGATTGCTCGAATATTATCTTCCGACTTTCATTGCATGATTACTGTAAGTTGACTATTGATCATCGCTCGACAATTGTCACTTGACTATTATTGTGTAATTGTTTTCTTTAACTAATATTTCCTAATGACTTTCTCCTAACTATTAATATTGAATGGTCATTGTCACCTTCCACCACTTTTTTCATAATAATTATTATAATAATAAATAGTTTAACTAGTACTCCTAACTTTGTAGCCCCATCTTCTTTAACTACTATTTCCTAATAACTAGTACTCCTATATTAATCTAAAGGATATAATGCATTAATTTAATAGTGTTAGATCTAATGATTTTTTTCATTTTTTTATTTTTCTTGGAAAAATTGGTGTCATAAATGAAACTCTTCTTTCATATGTGCAAAATATTTGCACAAAGATAATTTATTAATCTCTTACTCTACAATCATTGATATTCTAACACACGATGTTTCATACATGCACTCTTCCAAATCAACTAATTTTGTTATTCTTATTTTTTTTATAAATAATAAGAATAAATGTCTTTTACATAATTAATTGCCAATCAAATATCTTAATAAAAATCATACCCTCTCATAAATAACCTCAATTTTTTGGAGAATGGGGTGCATCTCATCTTTATTAATAAAAGAATCAAATATAGTATAAAAAAGACACAAATACAATATAATACAAATAGCTTAGCACCAACAAAATAGTATAAGGGCCTACTAAAAAGACATTAAAAACATAAGCCAACACGACAAGAAAAAAATAATAACAAACACTCGTAACAACACAATGTAAAACTAACACATATTCTGAAGAATAATAGCAACTAACTTTAATCTTCTTACAAAAAGAAACCCACCATAGGAAAATGAAAGTAGCTTAAACTAGCTTCAATCATATTCCAAAAGCAACACACCAGAGCAGAATGAAAACAACTTTGTAGAAAGCAACATCAATAAAACAAAATTGATCATCTCAATCTTCAAAAATTCTGCCAAAAAAAAAAAATCAATAACAGGAAAACAACTAGCACACATTGAGTGCGAAATGAAAGAAAATTAATAACAAAGGATAAAGAATAAAGGAAAAAAATTAGACTTATCGAGTAAAAAAAATCAACTTAGAAAATCTAACTAAATAAACATTAAAAATCTATCCAAGATTAATGAATCTCAATAATAAAATATCAACATATTCAAAAGATGATTGAATTTTAATGAACGGTTGTAAATCATCATAACAAATACCAAACTCAAGAAAAAAACAAGTAAGATCATAAGCATATATGATAAAAAATCAACTAAGATCAAGGATACGTATCTGTAATTATAAAATGAATAACATCCCAACATAATAACAACAAACATAACAAAAAAAACAAATCACAGCTTCTAAACAGTGAAAAGAAAACAACACTAGAAGAAAAGAACAACATCAAACTCAACAAAAAGTAAAAGACATAAAAATAGATTAAAAAACAATATAACAAAACCTAACATAAAAGAAATAAAAACCAACACCAAACTCAACGACTACAACGACAACAAAAAAATTATATATCAAAACCTCTAAAATGGCAAAGGAAACATTACAAAAAAAAAAAAAAGAAGCGTCAAACGAAATCCCCATTCAACATAAAAAAAAACACGATAGAAGCAAACAAGAAAAAAAAGGCACAAAAATCAATCCAAAAGGAACATAAACTAATATCAAACTCATCAACAACAACATAATAGCAAAACCCTAGGAAAAACAATAACAACAACAACAATGCCTTAGAAAAGAAATTAACAAAAACCCATAGTGATCAACAAGAATAAAATAAAGAGCAACCACTCAAGGAACATAACCCCAAAAGATCAACATCCACACCCACCAAAATAACCACCAAAAGAACAACAAAAACCAACCTCACAGAGAATATATAGCATAAAGTTTATATATCTTGTAAAAATTACTTAAGAGTAAAGGAATAAGCTCTCTAAATTTTTATTTTCTTTTGTTCTTTCTTAACCAACCAATGAATATTAAGAACAATAGCCTCAATCGGAGAAGAATGAAATCTAAAAAATTATATAAATTATTTCAAAAAAAATATAATAGACAATAATTTGAATAACTAAAAGATGAAACCTCTTATAAATTTTATAGGAGATAGAGTTACAATGATAGAACAGTTAGAAATAATTAGTAGGGGCAATAAAAAAAAGACCACATGAAATATATTTATTAAGTGATTTGATAGAGGACCATCAAAAAATAAATTGTTAAGAGTTTATGTCCCAACAGAAATAATAACACAAGTAGAATTAACAGAAACTCTCTTAAGAGCAAGTATTAAGCTCACTATGAATATTTTTTCAAAATGAAAAGCAAATTTTAAAGAAAACCTTTGAACCAAACTAACTTATACCAATTAACAAAAGGCATATGCTTATAAAGATAAAAATAAATAGTTATATGAGAATAATTATTTTGATTATTTCAAAGGCAACTAAAACCATTTATAATAGGAACATTATAAATAACATGAATACATAAAGCAAGAGCTCTAGGGGAGAAAGATAAAATCTAGGCATTATTAGAAATGATATCACAAACCAAAGTCTTATGAGGAAAATCGAACCAAGCAAAAATATTATTATCAAATTTCTCCTAAAGAGAAAATCCATAAAACCAGTGATCATAATAAGAGAATAATTCAGTGTTATTAAAAAAATAAAAAAGTTAAAGTGGATTTTATTTTCCTAGCCACTTTATTAATGCATTTCTAAAAGGGAGAATAAGAATGAGATCTATGCCAAGTAGAACTATAGTGATTCAAGCACCATATGGAAAGAGAAGTGCTATAA